CGACCTAAGCTGGTCAATTAAAAGTATGTTATAAAAAGGCTGATTAATTAATCAGTTTTTATTTTCATAAAATGAACTATGCAATACATCTTAAGAGAGCTATTGAAACCTTGACACACTTATGTGTATACGCTGCAATTGCGGAGAGTGTAGAAAATTATGTTTGTAATGGATTCGATTACGCAAAGATGATACGGATTTTATTACTACATCTTTTAATGGTTTAATTTTTAATTATTAGTGACATTTTTAACTCAATTAGGATAAACAGAAGTAGCAATTAACCTTTATAAAAAGTACTTAAAATTATCGGGATGAAGGTGCCATTTACCATCAAGTCTTTTATAATGAACGCATGTGAAAGGTTAAATTTAATAAGATTCTTCGCAAGTGCATTCAAGAAAGTCAAGGGAAACTCTGAGAATACGATACCATACAAGTTTGCAATTCTTTATGCATTGTATTTAGGATTACAATTCAATGCACGATAGTAACATTTCGTATGCAAACATCGGAGTAATTACTAGTCTAATCTAAACGTACTTGCAAATTCAGGTGCAATGTAAAAAATATGTAAATTAAAATCGAAATTTGCTCTACAGTCCAATCACAACAACGAAAGAAAGTTTGAAAAACATTTCAAAATTGCGCTAAATACAACTATTTTTGGTAGCGTTTGTTGTTATTCCAACTAGGTAACTGGATTGTTGTAAGTTGAAAAATAATAAATATGGTTTAAAGCTTTCCAAATGTACAATGAAAAAGTTATATTCCATGAAATAACTGGTATTCAGCTTCATCGTAAACATAGACTGAACAAACCGGAATAAACCGGAAATATACGAAAGGTTCTACACCATAATCATGTGTATTAACACTTATTTCAAACTTGTGCTTTGATGGAAATTTAATTGACATGTTCACTTTTATTTTCTGTAATTCATGGTCTGTCTTAACATTATGGTAATCAACTTGCATTTCTCTGGCTTAAAAATTGGTTTAAAAACCTAATAATACCTTTAGAAAATGTTAATGAAGCAGTTGTGAGAGTAAAGTTAAACGTGACCTCAAAACACATTTAAGGGACCAAAGAAATGTTTAATTTACAACTTGTTTATTTTGTGACGCATGTAAAATAAGAAAATGTATGTGGATTGCATGAAATACAGTGTTACATCAAGAGACAGTTCTCAGTGCGCAAACAGCATGTTGTAATTATGTTTATATTTAGACCGTACCCTACGTTCGTGTACCTTAAAAAATAGTTAACATTTTAAATTGACAATATAATTACGAGACTAGTGAAGCGTATGGAAAGAATACGCATATAAATTTGCTAGTTAATAAATAGGAGAGACTTTCACGAGCTTTACTCAAATTTTATTCGAAACATATTTTTTTACTTGAACGTCTTCTATAACACGTTTAATACTAGACCTCACAAGAGTCGGTGGCTCTGAACGTGACCGATCAGAAACTCATTGATCTGCAAACACGGGGCATTATGCAACTATTGTGGCGTCGAAGCACCATGTGCTCGTGAATCACTTTCACTACAAAAAACACGCTTTCTATGAATTCGGCTAAACCCAAGCGACAGAATGCGTGATGCGTGACCCACGACATTTTTATCACGTTGATATATTAATCCTCACCATACGACATGCATACTATTGTTTACGGCACATTACTGTTAACTTAACGACAGGATCATTTTATTCTATCTCGGTTCCTTCTTAATAAAGGTTGACTTACTTAACAACGACATAGTGCAATTGCAAAGGATATTTACGCTTACTTTACCTTTATCAAATAAACACTAGTTACCCTAGCTACAATTAATTTTATGTACTCTTTTTACAATATCAAAACTGTAACAACGAATAATTGAAGTGTTATTTTGCGTTTATCTCTACTGACTTAAAATATACGTAACAGAAAACGCAGAGATGAATTTGAAACCCATATGATTCTCACAATGTTAAATCTGTGTAGTGAAAGTGATTTCTTTAATGTTTTTTGTTGTCAGGATGTAACGGTTCCGTCGTTCAAGCGGATGCCAAAGCTCGTTTTTAATACCACTAGTCTGGGACTTTGCGGCAGCAAAAAGTTTCCTACAATTTCACATCCGTCGATCGATTTGATAACTAATGTACTTGTATATAAATAAAATTCAATCTAAATAAGATTCTCCCACAGAATACGTGAAAGTTAATTCCTTCAGTTTAATCATTATCTAGAAAGTTGTTTAATCGTTATATGCACATCAGTTAATAATTACGCCTTTATGTTTTATAGGCATTAGGAAATTATATCATCATCATTTTATTAAAAACAACGGAAACTATTAAATTCAAGTCACAAATACATAAATAAATACTAATAGAAAATTCGTTTAGTTTTGTTATGTCATCACTTAATCACACAGAACTATAATAGTAATACAAGCTGAGATTAAAAGAGAAGAATTATTCCAAATAAATTTGAGAATATCATTGCCCTTCTTGTATTCTTAGTTGTTATCATCAAAAGGTGAACAGTTTTCTTTATATATTTTTTATAGCATAATGGAGAAAACGTGCAAACATGTGATCAAAAAGGGAGTGATGACTGAGATGACGTGTGATAGAGTTATGTGGAAGAAAAAACCTGTTGCGCCGACCCTACGGGAGTAGGATAAAGAGAAAGATGATGATGATGAATGGGGGCAAACGTGCAACGGGAACACCGAGGTGATTATCGACACGCGGACATTAGAAAAAACCCCACGTAATTACTACATTTTGTTACCGATTTGCATTAAACACATTCTGATTTGTTAACTTAACGGATTTCCTCATTGTTTATTTATTGACGTTAACGTACCTAGTTGTCACGTATCACCGTCGATCTTATAAATAAAATCTATAGTTCAAGGTTTTAACTTCTTTTTAACTAAACAGAAAATAAGGATGTGATATGGTGATAAAACAATGTCTATAAAAAAATTTAAGAAAAACATGTAAGTTTGTTTTAAACAAATGAATTTAGTAATTACATTTTTACACTTATTCTAAGACTGTTAAAAATTTAAGTTACAAAATGCACTCGTTATATATCAATAACATTGCATTATCCCAATTACGTAATAAATAAATATGAACTTGTTACATGTACAATGTAGTAATGTGACAATTCTGACACAAAACATGGACTTTTCGAATTACAATGCAATCTGTTCAAAGTGTACCAAGAAATAATGAAATTAACCCAAAGAACAAATTATTAGTCACCAATATTCGTGAATAAGATATAATCATTTTTATCTCTGTTCACGACATTTTTAAGTATTATAGTTAACCTTTTATTAATCGTGACTAAGCTAACTTAAGATGGATATCAATGTTTCGTTGACAACAGAAATACTGCGACAACTTTTAAAATAACATAACTATCCCACGTTGTAGTGAATTAAAATGAATGTAAATCGTTGAAATCTTTTCTAAGGAAAATCTAAATATTGTTCTATAATATATATATTCTAATTGCTCGATTGTAATGTAATTTATTGTGAATTAATCGAATGGCCTTTCGGTTACTCCAGTGATTCATGTGCTAGGATTTACTACAGGTCATTTTGAAGTATCAGTCAAGCTAAATTACCTTTACTAAATACGACATGGATCATAAAATTAGTGTTCACTTTAAAGTTGCTGAAATTGGATTTTGCAGTAAATGCATATGGGAAGGAAACTATGAATTTTCATATTTTAATTAATGTTTTGCAAACTTAATTTCTATTATTAGCCATTATTCAAATCTTTAAATGCTGAGTGTGATGCCTGTGACCGCCGGTGGCTCGGTGGTTCGGATACGATTGCTCTGCCGGCATGACGCCATGACAGTAGACAACAGTTTAGCCATACACTACACTGAGTTTACTATTGCTCAAGTTATATTTTTATTAGATTTATTTAATACACTACTAAAGAGAATAATACATACACAACGGATATACTTAATGCGCTAGCTGAATCATAAATATTTCCTTTCATGCAATCAATTCAAAATTAATTGCTTGCCTATGTTCAAATCTAGACTATATCCTTTACAGTTTTTTTCATCGACACAGTAATCCAGTTGACAACCTTGTACAATAAAAAGTGTGACAATGAAATATGACCGAAGTAGACGTAACAAACGGTTCCGATCGAATAACTTTTATTATAAAATGATATCGGTCAGACCTTGGCGGGTTCGTGTAACGAACTCTTGTTTTTAATTCCGCCATTCACAATACAAAAATTACACTTTAATTTTTAAAGAATTGAATTGACAGCGTCTGTTCTACATTTTAACATCAGAATCTAATCCAAGGTCAGAGTAATATCAATGTAATGTAATATTCAGTAAATAATTTGGATTACACACCAGAAAATGTGACTATTTTCAATGAACGGTTGTTGTGTGTTTCAAGTAAATGCAGAAACATAGATAAAAACGCACAAATATAATAAATTGTATGCGATGGTTTGTAAGTAGGGTAATCAATATTTCCAGTTACGGATCGTATATAAATGTATTCAGCCATGTCCAATAATGATGATATAAATTGCTATTTCGTGAGACAGTTGTGTTTCTTAGGCACTAAAGTGCGCAGGAAATGCATTTGGTCACGCTTAACATAAAATTACTAAACTTTTTTAAGCCGTACTTACTTATTATGGGCAGTAAATCATAATGGTTACGATTGTAGGCAATGCGATGATAACTACAGTTGGGGAATGAGGTGAATAAATTAAATTTTGCTTCATCGATTAATCAACGAACATCGTCATTGAGAATCTTAGGATTGTTTTCCGGTTAAATTAAAAATGGGATTTTAGGGCAGTATGTTTAAATTGTTGGGAAGTTTTTTCCCCATCATAAAAATAATAGGTTAATTGGATATTATTACTCTTTTCGTTTTAAAACAATTATTGATTTTGTTTGTAATAAACATCACCTCTCTTTTGTTGCAGTTATCCCGATTATCGTAACTCCAATCACAATATCCCCTAATGGAAACAGTCCTGAAATTAAAATGGTCGGAGGGGCCAGAGTCGATTTACAAAAAGGTTTTGTGCCTTCTAGAATAAAAAACGAAGGAAGTAGTGTAAGGAAATATGTTGACAAAAATAAACCCCTAAAAATTAATTCAACAAAACTGGCTATAAATGAAAGATACAGACGTTTAATACCATATATGACGTTTTATTACGCCAATGATCTAGTACCGCCAACAACAGAGGCATACAACAAAAATAACGTTGAAGTTGAAAAGGCACAAATAGTAGAAGCAGGTACAATACAACCCCAAATGCAACGCGGACCGAAAGTGGTATATTCTACAAGCCGCCATCAAAACATACCAAGATATCAAGGAAATCGCTTAACCCATTTCAACATTGCCTCAGCAAATCCAACAAAAATATTTTACAGTAAAGAAGGTTATCCAATAGTTGTACAAAATGCACCGAAATTAACACATAACTATAATCCGTTAATATTAGATCACAATGTTGAACACGATTCTAGGAGATACGTTTTAAAAGAACATAAAATTCCCAATGTACAATACACTACGCCCAGAAAGCCATACATAAATGTCCATCATAACGAAGAAAATGGTAATGCTCAATATTACTATCCTGAAAGAGATGATATAAAATACAAACTTGTGCCGTATGATCAAACCCCACCTATTAAAAATTCGCCTCAAATTGAATACGATAATGCGCCTAAGAAATTTTATAACATTCCTTCGGTAGATCCAAACGAATCTGTGTACATTAAGCCCAGACCTCATCCGCAATATCATTTTGATGAAATAAAAACTGAGCATGGTAAAAATAGAAAACCTCCTGTTACTATTTCCGAAGTTTATTACGAAAAGCAGAATCCGTTACCAGTGGTATCCGAACCCGTGATTGAAACAGGTTTTAAGCCTATTATAAGCCAAACAACACAAACATCTAATCCCGTAGCATACACACAAACGTTATCCGCCTCAGATCCTAATCATTATGATGTTGAAAAACAACAAGAATTACAAATCGAAAGCGGACCTGCCTTAGAGGATAATGATAAATCCCAGTATGAACAATTCGTAATCGAACAACCTACATACAAATCACAACCAGAAACGTCCAATGCTATAACTATTGCAGATCTTTTGAACTCATTACAGTTAAATAAATCTATTCCAAAACCAATTACAAAAGAAAATGTGGGTTCATCTATAAGAATTTTGTTACAAGCTTTGAACGATTTGAAGGGGAAACTTCAACAAAGTGAGGTAGACTCTCCAGTTCTTAGTTCACCTACGCCATTTGAAGCTCCGAAACCATTGGTTACTACTGTAAAACCTATAATACACACTACAAGTGCGCCCGCTATTGAAGAAAGTGGTTTAAGCGAAGAAGCCTATTTAGCGGAAGTTGAAAATCCGTCACAACATTTAGACGGTATGTTTTTAACAATTTTTTACCAAATCATTAAAATCTTGTTAAAATCTGTCCACATTTCTTCCTGAAATTATCTTTATAATACGTTCTTGTTTTTTTTTCGCAGATTATACAAGTACCAGTCAACGATTTCCTCTACCTATAACATCTGACGAAGAAGGTGGCACGCCCGGTCACCCTGGAATTGACTATCCGATTTTGACAGTAATACCACAAACTAAATTCGATTGCAAGACTCAACGCTACAAAGGTTTCTTTGCTGATCCAGAAACAAGATGTCAGGTGTGGATTTATCTTTGATATAAAATTTACAAAGCATTAAATTTTCGGATGTCGACGGAATTTCAAAAGTCACTTATAAGACTTCCTAAGTATTTACTTGATCTAATTGATTGTGATTGTTTCTGATTTTAGGTATGGCACTACTGCGATTTAAATGGTGGGCAAGCTTCATTTTTATGTCCGAATGGAACTATATTTTCTCAAGCGGCTTTAACCTGCGACTGGTGGTTCAACGTTAAATGTTCTTCGACAGCGCAGCTTTATGTACTCAATGAAAGTTTATACAAGTACATATTACCACATTCACCGAAGTTCCCTGAAGATTATAGTGGGCCATTAGTTGACAAGTAAGTAATTTCAATAATAATATAGCAAGATGCACTAATAGGATTTTCGTAAATCCAACGACAGCTATTAAATGTTCTGTAATATTTTTTTAATATTTCAGATATTTGACATTGAAATTTAAAGAAATGGAGGAAGAATTTAAAAAGAACAAAAACAAGAATAAGCAGAGTGCTGAAGATAAAATGGACAGCGACGAAGATGATGATTCTAAAGAGGGTGAAATAGATGAAGTGTCAGAAAGCTCAGATGAGAAAGATGACGGAGCAAATAAACAATCAAATAAAGTGAGTGAATCAAGCGTTATTGTAGCAACATCAGGGGCCAGCGGGAATGTCCAAAGGTTAGAAGACTAGATTCAAAGATGTGAGAACAGCAAATTGTATGAACTAATTTGATCTGCCATTATGTAAACATCAATGTACCTAACGAGGCAATAAACTGTGATAGTTTAACTTTTTTATTAAGACTTTCTTCGTTACTTGTATTATTACTTTTTACAGTTCTTTTATGATTTATCCAAAATTTTGTTTATAACCGAGACAAAGTCCTTGAGATCGACTTTACGATATTTGAATAAAATTTAAGTTTTTTTTGTAAACGGCGATACAGTAGTGTGTTTTGCACTAACTATAAGTGCGTTTTGGCCAATGTTCCGTTAGGCCACCGTTCCGCTGGCATGACTGTAAGTTATTTAATTGCTACACACACGCAAATTAACATTGAAACCTTCGCAAGTTTCGCTAATAAGAAGGAATAAAGGATTCTTTGATTTTAACAAGCTTATTTTTATACTTATTTATAAAATTACGTTTCTACTGTTGGAAAACATGGCGAGTATAATGCCCAAAATCGTAGTCGGTGAAATAATTTAAACGTGCCATTTTAAGTCTCTAAGCGGTGATTTGAAGCGTAGTTGTGCAAAATGTTTTAAATATTTTCATACATTGATTAAATAAAAATTGGGCTAATTTCTTTTTTTGTTTACTGAAAACCTGGGAATGTATTGAAACCTTATAATATTAATAATCAATGGGCAGTCTGTATTTAACCATTATTATGAAAACGTTAGAGTAACAAAGCTAAGAAATTTATGCAACAGAAATTAGGTCTGCCAAGTATTTATTGCTCTTGGTGTTATTGTATATCTTTTTAGGTTAAGTTTATTTATAAGATAATTATTTTTATTGTTTACAGTAACCGGTGTTATTTGTACAGTTAATATTAAAACTCAAAAAAAATATAAATTTTTTGTTATAAATATCTTGTATACTTCGATTTTTTTTTACCATAAATGTGTTATTTTAGGACACTATAAATCCATCGACTAGTAAAAATCTTAAAAATCAGAAAATAAATTATTTTAATTTCGTTCATTGTAGTTTTATTGTGAGAAAGACGTAAGATATCGTTATATAGTTTAGACTGGCTGTTGTCTGCGACTTCGTCTACGCAATATCAAAATGAAAATAGTAGCCTATAATATGCTCGTCTATGTCAGCTATCCTTACCCGGAACAAACGAGGTCTGCGGACAGACAGACAAAAAAAATTAAATGCTATTTTCGTTTTCAGCAACGTAAATACATCATCTTCCCGAAATCTGGATTTTTTTTTTGATATTACAATCATACACTCCAATTTTATTATATGTATAAATAAATGTGACTACAGCATACAAAAATTAATAGAATACTAGGATAAATTTATACTTCATATAGAACATAGGATAGTTTTATATACAAATATGAAGTCAGAAAATAACAACGTTTGGTATTTGCTATTTCTAGCATTTGTACAAGGGAGCCTGCATAATGTATTTAAAAATAGAAAAGTAATGCTTATGTGTTCAGTAAAGATAAAATAACGTAATAACACATAATGTTCCATGAATTTATTTACAGCATCAAATAGTGATTTCTTATTAACACCAATTATACTAGAACAGGTTTTCATCTTAAAGTCTCCAATATTTTGATAAGTAGATAAAGAAGCTTTAATAATTAAATGAAATATAACAAAAGATTGTCGAGAAATATGTAATATTTAAAAAGATTTCTTTAATTTTTACATTCTTAGATTGGGACTGTTAACACCAAGTATATGTACTTATTTCTATTAAACGGTTAAATGTAGTTGAAATATACTAAGAATGTCATTTAAATATGCGGATACATTAAGAATATTTACAAGACATTGTATCAAGCACGTTGTTCTATACAATAATATATTTATTCATATTACCGATGCCATTGGACCATTAAAAGCTAAACAGTTAGTTATTTCTGCAGACAATACTTATACAAAAATATAATTTTGGGATGAAATGATTCTTAAGAGATAAGTGTTTAGTACGGTAAATCGAACGCGTTGTATATTTTTTTTTATTCTAACGTTATAAAGGAAAGTTACACAAATTTGGCCTATATCGGTTTAAAATTACTCTACATGACACATATAAGACCTTGTTTATTTATAACCTCATTCACAAGTTGTTGCCATCTCAGTCTTTAGCGTTTCGCACCTTTTTAAAACATTTACTACGCAATATCAAATAATTGAACATGCCTATACAAGTATCTTAATAATAAAACACATAATTTACAAGTAATATAAGCTTCGCTTCGATTCAGGTCTAAAAACCATAAAGATCATACATAAATGTCGTCCATCGCAATATCTAAAACACAACCGAATAAACAAATAATACATACATATAGTAACAACCGTATTAATGACAAAATTACATTCAAATTTACATAAAATTTGAGTATTTAGAGAGTAGAGAATAAAATCAATTTAATACATTCTCTTAAATCATCTTATCGATAGCTAAAAGGTAAGCTTTTTGAAAATCTTATCGAGTTCATGTCAATTTACCCTGTAAGTTAAACATACATACATACTTTTTGAATATCGCACTTAACTAGAACAATAAATAACGCACGAAAACGTGCAATAAATTTCCTACTCGTTTATATTAATGTAAAACGTTACAATCACTAAAATAACGTCAACAAGAAACAAAACAGTTACATTTACAATACTTAAATAATAAAGAAATATGTATAAGTGTATGTGTTTGTGTGTGTAGTGTGCGTGTGTGTGTTGTGTTGT